GAATAAAAATGGACAGTCACTTTTGTGTTGTTCGACTAGACAGGATAGTAAGCACTCAAAAAGATAGGAACACATAACATTGCCTTTTTGTCGTCTTTGTCTACGCTTCAACTGATTGCAGCTCGGACGGAGTTAAAGATAAATTTTAGAAGAAGCTATTCAACCTCCTTCAAAAAGCTAGACGCTCTGATTTAGTAATAGTGGCAGGCGATTTAAATGCCCAAGTTTATTTATTTAAACACATAGACGTTGGTACAAGGAGGCACCAAATACATATGCGCCACACAAATCTCATTTGATATGTGTGAGGGCTACGACACTGCCCGGGTGCCCAAACCGAAGCGGGTGGTTTTCTTAAGGGCCACACCTGGAGTCTTCGACATGAAGGTCTGATCCACAAGGCATTGGAGCAACGTAAGGAGATGCAGTCCCATGGTAGCCGGTGACTAACGATTGGTTCTTACTCCATTTGTCCCCTCAGGATCCTGGAGCCAGCGTGCACTATTGGTTTGGAATCAAGCTTTTCCAACTTCCATAGGCAGACTCTCTATGTCCACCAACCTGGCTAAAGCGCCGGACGTTCGCTTTTCATCCTCTCAATTTCGTAAACAACATCCCCGCCGCGAGAAGGCGGTGGTTGAATGCACGTGGCCATGTGAGAGCATTTCGAGAGGGTGGACGGACTCTCCTCACTCTCGGCCGTACCAAGGTATTTGGGGGCTTTTTATATTTTTTTCTTGAGCGAATCTTACGGTGTTGTGGCTCAGCGAACAGACAAAGGCGATTATCTATTGCAACTATGCCCATCTATTTCGGGGAAACACCAACTATAAGCATAGGGTGAAACATCGTCTGACGGCAACTTCCACAATCGTCTCATCGATCGACTCAAATAGATCACACTACCATTAGACATCATTGGGGGGCTCGATTAAAGACTATCGCTTATTCTGGAGCACATGTTTAGACTCGGATTATGCTCTAGTTCAGGCACGTATTTGTCTTCAACTTACCGAACGTAGAAAACCTACAGTAAGGAAACGCTTGAGAGTTCAACCTAATAATTGAAAGGCTCATATATTTCAGGAACAACTGGAGATATCCAAAATGCTGTGAAAACAGAAGTGATATCTATTAGTAACTTAAACTAAAAGGTTAAGAAAAGTCAGTGGATTTCGACAGCATCTACAGAACTGATGTTAGGAAATCCACCCCATCTGGCTCTGAACACGACGAGTGGAGGCAGTTTAAATGTAGGCTGATGGAAAGCCCACGTAATGATCGTGAGGAGGGGTAGGTAGCGAAAGCAAGAGAGATGGAAGAGGGAGAAGCGACAGGTAACAATAGACAACTATTCAGATTTATAAAGAAAACGAGTACTGAAATTCCTGGCTGTTAGTGAAACTATCTTGGAAAAGACGAAACTAATATTCACTCCCAGTTCAGAAGATCGGACCGATGGGCTGAGCACTTTGAGGAAACGTATAACTGGCCTTCAGCCAACTGATGTGAGTCCTCCAACTCATAGTGAGGTTGAATAGACTATAAGTAATCTAGGGCGAGGGAGAGCATCAGAGCCTGATAGACTAACCCCTAAGATTTTTAAGGACAGTAGTCCAGTGTCAGAAGTTAGATTAACTAAAATTTTGTGAAAATTCCCATTTTGCCATTCGGTAAATAAAGAAGGAACGAATTGAGCGAAGAAATTTCTTTTCAATTAGTTTTTCATCACGGCTCTACACTAATATATACATATATATGTTTTACAATAATAATATAATACTCATCGAGTGGATACGTTACGTAATAATTACATAATGACATTTAAATTAACATTGAGTAATTGGAAGAAAGAGGATTATTAATATTCAAAGTAATCAAGAAGTTGCTATGTTGCGTAATATAAGAAACAAAGAAGGAACAGAATTTTAACGGATGGTCAATAGGATAGTAGTTACGTAAGAATCAAGAGATGAATGTTGAGAAGTTATAAGGTTCAATTAACTTAACATCAGAAGATGAACAGAATAATAGCATATCTTTTCTAGACGTCCAACTGACTAGGAGAACAGACGGAACTATGAAAAGAAGGGTACACAGAAAGTCAGCAGCAGGTCAATACACTCATTTCCACAGTGCAGTTCCAATCAGATACAAAATGAACTTGATAAAGATCTTGATACATCGTGCTAGAATGATCTGCTCTGAAGACACCATTGAAGAAGAACTGAACAATATTCGGAACCTACTCAGTCTGAATGGGTACCCCATGAAATTCATCGACAAACATATGACGGAGAAGAAAACAAGGGTAAAAATACCCACCGTCTCCAAGATGGTATTATTTATAAAACTACAATCCATAAGTGACACCATTGAAGAAGTCATGACTCAGAAACTACGAAGAGCTGTACAAAAAACGTTTAATGCTGCCAAATTAAATGTCATGTACAACCACCCGAAAATAAGAACATCCATTAAAGACAGACTGCCAGAATTCGCCAAATCTATGTGTATCTATTGTTTCAACGGCTCCTGTAGAGCCAGTTACATAGGGCGTACAATTCGGCAGGTCCGTCACCGCATTACAGAACATCATCCGACGTGGCTAAGCAAAGGACAGGTGAAAGTGATTAAAAGTTATATTCTCTCTCACTTGGTTGACACAGGTCATCAAGTCGAATTGAATAAAGCTTTTAAGGTTATCTACAATATTCCACCAAATCTACCACATGGTTTACGAGTGCGCCTTTTGCACATTGCGGAAGCCATCGCAATCCATGTTCACAAACCTGACCTTTGTATCCAAAAGAAATTCGTACAACCACTTTCTCTGCTCTGGCCTTTAGTATAAAATTTCCGTCATAAGAACTATTTTTCATACTTCTTCCACTTCTTTTTTTTAAATTTTTGTAATTTTGTTTCTATTGCTTTTGAACCTTATAACTTCTCAACATTCATCTCTTGATTCTTACGTAACTACTATCCTATTGACCATCCGTTAAAATTCTGTTCCTTCTTTGTTTCTTATATTACGCAACATAGCAACTTCTTGATTACTTTGAATATTAATAATCCTCTTTCTTCCAATTACTCAATGTTAATTTAAATGTCATTATGTAATTATTACGTAACGTATCCACTCGATGAGTATTATATTATTATTGTAAAACATATATATGTATATATTAGTGTAGAGCCGTGATGAAAAACTAATTGAAAAGAAATTTCTTCGCTCAATTCGTTCCTCTTTTATTAATTAAAATTTTAACTGAAATCTTGGAACTGGATGTAATCTCATCAGACTGGTCTCAACCGCTGACAGTCCCGGTTTATAAGAATATAAGAAAGGACAAAAATCCTTTAGTGACAATCAAAGGAATCAGTTTAAACAATATAGTGTCTAATATACTTGTCTTGATAATACTTCTAAGTCTGACTAGAGCTCGTGAAGAGCAAATCCGAGGAAATTAAGCTGCTTTCAGACATAGATGTGGATGTACAGACCAAATATTCACCTTTCGATAGGTGCTGGAACATGAATATGCCTTTCGATGCCCGACTATAGCTGTATTCCTTGATCTAAAGGTGACGTTCAACTCTATTGATCATGAGGTTCTGTCATTCAAAGGCGTACAAAACAAGTACATCAACCTCATACAGGCTTTACTCGGACACTACTAGTCGAGTCAGAGCTTATGAAAAAGTGTCATCAGAATCGCACACTTCAAGTAGTGTTTGTCAGAATTATCTGCTTTCCCAATTTTTATTCAACTTTGTGATAGACATGCTTTCACAGATGTGAAACATGGTCATTACAAATAGAAGACATTTGTAGTTTACTGGTATTCGATCACAGGCATCTACGAAGCATTCCTCGTGTAGTTTGGGACCACAAACTAAGCAATTTCTGGAATACGAACGGGTTACTAGGTATAGATGCCAAAGCGATTGATGTGGTAAAGAATCTTCACCAACTGAGGACATCTAGGACATGTGTTACGTGTGCCCAATCACTGTCTGCATTGACAGGCGATATTTTCTGGTGCAAGAGTAGACTGGAACAAATGTCGAGGTGGTCAAACCAAAACACGACATCAGCTATGAAACCACCGACAACTGGATTGAGTTATGTTCATAGGTGTAGACAACCTGGTTGTGTCTGCGTGATTATTGTGATCAGTGACTAGAGACTCTAAATGATATGGCCCAAAATTGTGAGCACTGAAGCAGGTGCATCTATTCTTTGTCTTACTCCAAATCCTAAGATTCCGAATTCCTCATACCCTCTTTTTGTTTTCATTTAGATAATTTATCTTCTCTTCCCAGATCGTATCTTTGATGCATGGTCTTTCCTATTGCTACTCATGTTGTCTCTAGTATTCTGGGATTTAGTGTGACAATCTCATTCCTCTGTACTAATAGGGTATGGCAACTTGAACCGATGTACATACGTACCAGGTTCTACGTTGTAACTGACTGACTGAATACTAGGGTGCAAAAACCTATATTTGAATGTAATGCGGATCGCATCTCATGTCATTCGATCAGCTTATGCAATGCCTATTGTTTAACAATCTTGGTTTTTGAAAAAGTACAGCTTATAAGTATTATCGCTTCACTGGATGGATTATAATTCCATTTTACTGTTATACGTTAGTTCGCAACATCAATCATTTCGGCTTTGCTACTGTCACCTTTTTGAGTGATACTACTCGGTAACATGTTGTAATAGCCAAATTTTGTGCCGCAAATTAAATAAATTCTAGTACTTGATTTGTACCAGTTGTATTCAGTTGTGTCCTAGCCAACCAAACTATTTAGTAACCATGGTTTACTCGGTTTCTATTAATGAAAATCGATAGAAATTAAGAATCTCATGATACACAAAAACATGACTACCTACAAAGCTCTTTTTCGTGCTGGTAATAAATTGGCCTACATAAAGAGCGTTAAAGTTTTATAAATTAAATATGCATATACATAACCTTTCTACTTACTGGTCATTAAACATATCCCAATTACGGCTAGAGGAAGAGATTTTATTAGCATGAGATACATCTGAAGGTGTGAATCCGGTTTTCATCCCAATACAATGACAGCCATTTACTCTGTCAGGAGATTTTGGATTGATATTTTGGTCTATTGATTTGCTCGTATTTACGGCATTTACAACATTTTGTTCACATGTAGGAATGTATGTTTTTGCGTGGTCAGAAGCACCTAAAGTCCTTTTAATATCCATTATATCGTTTGAAATATCTTGCACTATGGCAGGATTTAGCAAATGCTCTCCATCGAGACTCCCAGAACTTGAATTAGTGGTAGGTCTCCCACAGTAAATGTCTGTGACTGAATCAGGGCTACCAGAAAACGAGCGCATATCGAATGAACAGTCTTTCACGTGAGATCTTGAAATAAGACACGGGCTACCTGTGTCACTGCCACTTGAGAGACCATCTTCTACAGTAGGCATTGTTACAGTGATATGTTTTGGCTGTAACGTACTTTGCTGCATCACACCCGGGGACCGAACACAAGCACTATCCTTTTCCGTTAGAAAACTAGACGCAATTGGGACATAATTGCTATCTGAACGGATGGTCGCGAACTTTTTTCCAGAAAAAGGGGACAATAGAACCAACTGTTTCGAAATATCCGATACATCAAAATTCACTCTGTTTTCGTCATTGTAACTCAAAGGAATGTCGGACAACTCGTGTTCTGAAAAACATGTCACCGAATCACAAGATCCTCTTGCTTCGTTGCTTTGAGAGCTAGCCACATTTTCCTTTATTGTGCTGTCTGTTAATTCACGAATATGAGGGACAGAAAAACATTCTTTGTGGCATAATCCCGTATAATCCGTATCTGTTCCATGGCCTCCATTCATATTATTTGAAGTGCCGCTAGAAGATATCTTATCCACATTTGTCTTGAGTATACATCGTTTGGGTCCGTCATATAAAATCTCAGATGTGAAAAGAGATGGTAAACCATAGATAAGTGTCGTCGGACTATCACCACTAGAATTTGTACTCGGAACATTTTGTTCTATATTTTGTGATTCCATTCTCATGAGTGACATGCTTATTTGATAACTAACGGACAGTGTAGATTAACTCCTTGCATCGCAAACTTTTAATATCCCCGCCTTCAGTCTTCAGTCTTCAGTAATAAGGATAGGAGGTCTGTCGACCTATATTAATCCTTGCAGTTTGTAATACTGTGGAGGTCCAATCTCGTTTTCAATATATTAACAGACGGTGCTGATATTACGTGTTCCGGTAGGGAATTCCAGTAATTCACTACTCGGTGCGAGAAACGGAACTACAGACGTAAACGGTTTGATCTCGGTTTTTGAACTTTCTTCGAATGTCCTCTCAAATGATCGGTTCTAGACGGAAGCAAAAGATAAGACATGTTAATACCAAGGTCATCGTTCAGTATACGATAAGCCAATATTAGATCACCCCGTACTCTACGTAAGATAACGGAAATAAGTTAAGGTGTCTCAGCCTGTCTTCATAAGATAGGCCAGATAGACCTTGTACCATCTTAGTAGCTCGTAGTTGGACTCTTTCTAGCATATCTGCTTCATATTTGAAACAAGGACTCGCTGCTTGAATCCCGTATTCTAAATGTGGTCGCACATAAATCGGGTATAGTAATCCAAACATTTCATCATCTAAATACTGAAAAGACCTACGAATTGACCATAATACCCTATAGCCTTTTGCAACAGCAGCCTTACAGTGACTAGTCGTTTTGAGATCATTGCTTAATATAACTCCTAAGTCTTTATAGTTTCTTGCTTTGGGTAGCACGAATCCACGTAGTGTATAGTCATACGATTCATCAGAGTTATTTAACTGCATCACTACACTCTTATTAGGATTTACTTCTAGTGACCACCTGTCTAACCATGCCACCAATGAGCTAAGATCGTCCTGTAATACTATTCTATCCGACATACTATGTATGGGTCTCCAAATCTTTATGTCATCAGCGAAGAGTAGAACGGATGATTTTGCTACAGTTGGCAATTCATTTACATAAAGTAAAAAGAGAAGAGGACCTAGGATTGTGCCTTGGGGAACCCCACCTTTTACAGGTACCCACGAGGAGAGAGCCCCATTAACCCTTACCCTTTGTCTCCTGTCATGGAGAAAGTCACTTATCCAATCGACGACTGTGTTATGGATTCCAAAACGTTTCAGTTTGAATTTAAGACCAGAGTGTGAAACCTTATCAAAGGCTTTACTTAGATCTATGAAAATTACATCCACAGGAGCATTCCGATCCTTTGCCGCAGCCCACTCTTCTCGTGCAATGAGAAGATTTGTCAAGCAAGATAGGCCTTTCCGAAAACCATGTTGTGCCCTGGAGAAAAGATTTTGCCCTTCAACATAGTTTATAACAGCTATCCGAATGATTTTCTCCATCAGTTTCACAACTGCACTAGTTAAGCTAACGGGTCTATAGTTACTAACTAAATCCCTACTCCCAGCCTTATACACCGGACTTATTATGGCGTCTTTCCAGTCTCTAGGAAGTCTGGACTGTCTCAGAGACATGTCGAATAGTATCGCTAACGGTTCAGCAATTTCATCTGATATGGCTTTCATAATCCTAGGATGAATATCATCGGGACCACTGGACTTATCAGGTTTGAGATGCTGAAGTAGCCTTAAAACAGTATCTTTCTCAATAACTACAGGATCCATCAGCGAGCCGTCACGGTCACAATGAATCATTGGTCGTTCCTCATTACCGATAGAAAACACTTTACTAAAATATTCCGATAAAGCTTCAGCTTCCTAAAACTCAAACGTTCTAGTCAGAAATATCGAATGGTGTTTCTTATGTTCTGAATGTAAGCCGCAACATGCCTTTTTGACTCAGTATATTCCTGATTATGCTTACTTGTGAGTTATCCCAGTCCTTTTGGATGTATCCAATTCTGCTCTGCTGATTTTTTCGTGTTTAAAAAGCGTAGTATCCCATGTACTTTATCCTATTTGGTTGCATCACTTGCTGATTTGACTGTTCTGGGTTCCTGTTATGAAAAACAACAGTGTCGCTAGCGCTGAATATCTCCACAGAAGGCAACTTTGCTTCTTACGGGTTTTTGTAGCTACTACAAAGGAGGTTTATGAAACAAGCTTCTGAAAGCTTAAAAGCCACTCGTGAGGAAGCAACTTTGCAGTAACAGGCATCTGTGATTATAGTTTTTGCGTAGTGAAATTGCCACAATAGGTCTCTACGTTTCTCTGAGAACTTCCCGCTTCATAAATGCCTAGGAAGTGCGAATCATCCGCCCAATAAGTATTCCATGTCCATACTGGGGGCAAGAAGAACTCGAAGGTAGATATGCGAAATGTTCCGTTAGTTTCGTATGTTGATTATAAGCCCCTTGCCCCAACATTGTGTGGAGAGTTATTTAATCGTTCAGTAGGATGCAGTATGTTCGTTAATCAGCAGTGCTCTAGTTCCTTATGATATGTGCCTGGATGGTGCCTACAATGTACGTCTGAGCGCAGCCAACTGCACATTGGTGGTTGTTAGGAGAAAAATAACTTTACGATAGGCTCTGGACCAATCAACTTACATGGAAGATAGATTGGGTGTCCAGAGTCTATCTTCGGACGTGGTTCTAGGTACAGACTTGTTAACAAATTGTGAGGGATGCTTAAAGGCAAAGGTATTTGCCTTTCGGAATTCATCTTGTAAACTGGGCTGTTATAAATAGAAAGAAGCTTTTAATCTTAAAATAATGATTAATGTTAATCGAATGGAGACAAATATCTCATCTTTACTTGTGGATTGACCTTTGGAGCATGTGGAAATAATAAAAGAAATTTTAAAACGTTTTATGACATATTTGCTTGATAGTGAGAAGATATCGGGCTCAGGATGGCTGTGGTACTGGAAGTGCAAAACCATGTAGCCAAGCACTTCATCGTGTATCTGTACAGTTTAAAGAAGCTCTTGATGATATGATAAACGGCTTGTTAGCACGTAACATAATCACACCGTCCATATCACCTTGGGCAGCCTCATCTGTGTTAGCGAAAAAGAACTAAATTTTGAGACTGAGCGTCGTCTATCGAAAACTTATTGAGATCGAATAACGTGGTTCTCCCTTTATTGCCACGAGTAAGCGATACCTTAGATACACTGGGTGGTTCGAAGGCGGCTCGCAACATCAGATTTAACATTTGATTATTGGAAAGTCGAATCTCATCCAGGTGACCAACATATAACGGCTCTCACCTTATTATCTAGTATATATGTGTTTCAAACAAAACCGTTTGTACTAACTGGTGCGCATTCTACTTTCCAATGGTTAATTCATACAAAGCCGGCTGGTTTGGTGTATTTAGGTGATGTTATGGCACACAAAACAACCATTAAAGGACACATAAAATTTTCAAATAGTTTTAGACTGCCTTGAGAAGTTGGTTTTAAACTAAAACCATTTAAATATCGCCTGCTGAGGAAGCAAGTTAGATTCCTCCTTCATTTCATTGACAATCAAGGACACATTCAAATAGCAAAAAAATCGATGCCGTCCGAAACTAAGTTGTTTCACAAAATTCAAATGAACTTCGCAGCTCCCTGGGTTTAGCAAATTATTATGGATTTGTCCAAAGGTTTCCTGAGAATCCACCTTTCCTTCCCACCTTACTTAGAGAGGACTGAAAATGGACCGCAAATTGACAACAATCTTTCGATTGTCTAGACTCTATTCCTACTGTCGGCCGTTTCAACTTAGGCATCGATGAAAGCGACCAAACTATCGGTAAAGTATTATCGTAAGTTTCTTTCGACGGAAAAGAAAGAGTTATTACATATGGAGGCCGAATGCCATATAGGCTAGAGAAAGATTACTGCGCGACACGAAAAGAGATGCCAACAGTGGTCTACTTTGTGCGCTACTTCAGGCATTACTTTTTGGGATATATGTTTACTATCGGAAACAATTATAAAGCTTTAAAATGATCGCAGAATTTTAGAGATCATGAAGAGCGAATTGCCAAGTGGAAAGAGTGTTTACAAGAACATGACTACGAGTGCATCTATTGGCCCACTAAACAGAATTAAAACTTGGACATTTAAGCATGCAGAGCAGCTAAACCTCATGAAAACTGTGCTTCGACAACGAATATAATGGAGTTGAAAACTACAGAAATTATTGAATGGGCTCATATTCAGACAACAGATCCGAAAACTTCAATAATGTGTAACGCTTCAACAAACCAGAGTTCTCGGTCACCTTCAGCAGAAATTCAAGGCGTTAGTTTGGAAGGCAGATGTCTATGGACCGTGTGGAAAATCTGAATGATAACAGATAGAGTATTATATTTTCGTTGTGGGCGAAGCCCATGAAGACTTTGGTCATGGCCATCAAACGTAGATACTGGCGGCCTGAACGAAAGAAAGACATACGTAATTACATCAGAGCTTGTAAGACATATAAAATGATTATGAGCACAAAGGACAACTCGTGTCCCCCATCAGTAAGTATGAATCCAGGCTACCCAAACGAAATAGTGGGGATTGGCATCTTGGGACTAACCAAAAGGAGAAATAAGTATATTTTAGTAATGACTGGTCACTTGATTAAGTGGTGCCTAGTAGTGTTGGTAATACTGTAAGTCATTAGAAGGTCACTTCTGAGACATCTATACTTAATTAGGTCACGATCAAATGAATTGATCCGTTCTTCTTAACTTTTGCATTTTAGTCTCCATACGGATTTCGTGATTCCCCTTTGGATATGTTTCAGTGTACTATTGTCCCTTTGAAGTAACAGAGAAAACGCTGTATTTCTACATTCTAAATACGACCGAATAAAAGTGTTACTGATTAGGTGAAAACCCCTATTGTTGAACTTGACAAAAACGCTCTTCAAAAGTTGACAGCGTAAGATTTGCTCGTTAGGCATTTTCATCACAACTAGAATAAGACTTTAGAACCAGGACTCTTAGATCTTTCTAAACTTGAGATACCTTCAGAGGGGAATCATTCAGCTTATATGCGTAGTTCACATCATATCTCACACGGCCTAATTTGTAACAGTTT